ATATAAAGATAAAAAGCAGAGAGGGGGGGGGGGCTGTGAGTGAGCATATCCCATTTCTTAAACTATGAGCAATGGAATTTAGGAGTTTGATGGGAAAAACATCCATCAATGAGAAAGAACTTGTATTATTATCCCATCAAATGTGTAAAAGCATGGTAAGAATTGCAAATGAAATAGAGCGTATTTAACAGAATTTGAAGGGACAAGAAAATTGAATTTATATTCCCATGAAAGGTTCCCCTTGGAAAAGAGTTTCCACTTCAAGATATAGTGAAAAAACTCCTGATAGTTATACTCATTGTCTCAGATCTCAGAACATTGAACTCGTCCTATGGAACCTGTTAAATAAATATTAAAATTCTAGGTTTAAAGGTTTTCTATATAGCTGAAATATGTGGGTTCTTTTAGCGATGACATTTCACTTGCAACAGTTACAGATCGTTAGTTACTATCTTTTACTTCAAACATAATTTTTATACACATTGACACTAAACTGGTGCTCCTGCTATAGATGCAGGCACACCCTCCTTTCCCTCCACCCCACAAAAAAAATTCCAAAAGAAAAGAAAAAGAAAAAGAAAAAAAAAAAACAGATGGAAAAATATAATGAGGGTGAAAAAAACTTGTGAAGTTTAATCAACGGCTCACCTGCACTTTGCTGAGGATTAATTCCAACCCCATCTGCATGAAGAGTCCATAACAATTTAGAAAAAAAGAACTTAGGTGATAATAACCAATATATATGCGCACGCACGTGACTGTATGTGTATGTATGAATATTCCCTTACTCAAAAAGAACAACAGAGATAGACAACTCAAAAGACAACATAGTTGGCACATGCTTCTTACAGCAATTGACTGAATACTGCAAAACTTGATTGTCGTAAGGAAGAAAGTTGACTAAGTACGAGAAATACAGCTGCATATACCTTGCTCCTTAATAACTAACAGTGCATTCAAATATTGAGGCGGACATACATACAGTTCAAAGTTGTCTCAAGCTTTCCGACTCAGAGGCTAACTAGAGAACCTACTATAGATGTTCTTTGTATTGGATTCAACCACAATATCTTGCCTGATTATTAAGAAATCAGACCCCGATTCTCTTGAAAAACCCGCTAACAAGAACACCCTATACTTTTCATGGCCGGAGTTTTACCAATCTTGAAAAACAATTCATGAACTCCACAATTAGGTTAAATTCTCTCACTTACCATCAACTATTTATTTCCACACTGATTGCCGAAACTAACATTCCACAACTCCATTTCAACAAAAAAAAAAAAATCATTACATGAGGAACCAGCGCTAATAAATATGGAGGCTAATAAGCTATTCAATTTCAATAAAACAAGCGTATAAGCCCCCTCACCGTTCTCAATTATAGTCGGGATAAATATTTGTAATATACAGATGACTGAAGCAACTATAAATCATAATTTTACACGACCAAAAAGTATTTATGTTTATAAGAACGATTACCATGACACACCAACTAGTTGAACGTTAAACTAGACAATGTGAAGATTTATATGGCTCCGAAGAAACAACAAATTTCCTGGCAGCATGCAGGGTGCAGAGACATCCAAAAGTGAAACGGAGCTTCAAAATTTACATACAGTTTCGGTATATTTATATATATATATATATATATAATGTAAACTAGATATGAAAATGGGAAAACAAAATAAAAAACCCAAATAAATATAAGATAGAAGGAGAAGGGCATCGAAATTACCGTTGGTGATGATGGCGCTGGTTTGGGGAGGGACCTTGAATTCCTCGGCCGCGAATTTCAGAACAGCGGTGAATGGAGCTGCCTCTGGCACGCTAAATCTGAAATTTGGCGATTGAAGGCAAAAGGAAGTGAATCTTAACGAAAATTGATAGAGAGAAATAGGAGGGGTAAATTGGGAGATGATAGTTTATAATGGTATACTGACACTTTGAAAGGGAGCTTTGGATCTGAAGTGAGAGTAACTTTGAAGGAGACCTTTCCACCAGTCGCCATCTTTGTAATTCAAGGGTTGTAAAATTCGACAGATCTTTTCTCCTTCCAACAGAGAAAACGGAACCGGGGGGATCAATTATATATACAGCGGAGGAGACAGCAGTACATCAGTTGTCTCCCTATCGTATTTGCGTACTTATGACGCTGATTTTTTTTTTTAATTTTATTTATCAAAAAAGAATTTTCAGTCATTTATTACTGGGCTTGTGACTGGAAGAGGGAGAGCCAGTTTTCCGTAGTCTTAGGCCCATATTATCGGGCTGGGCCGATCCTATACTTTCTAAGGCCTGTGTTCAATATATAACTTAGAGGTTAGTTGTATGAATATAGATCTTAATAATTCGCTTCGTTCACGTTCACATTCTTTAATGGAATAGTTAGTATTTTTCTTATTTTATAAAGATTTATAAATTCGAGTCTGAGTTATGTATTTTTAATATTTTTTATTAATAAAATTTATTATAATTGATATATATATATTATCTAATTAATGAAACATATATATTTTTATTTAAAAAAATTAAAGCAGTAAATATAAAAATAAAATAATGACAACAAGTTATTATTTAAAATTGATTTTTTTTTTTCAATTTCTGTTAAAGTATTTATGCTTCTAATCACAATATATTTAACTACAAAAGACTTTATAAATTGGCACAATAAAAATTTATATTTCTTGGAAAACTTGAGTTTTAATGTCTTTCTCCCCATTTCCTGATATACTGATTGAGTTTCATTTAGATTTTAATTTAATGCAACAAAAATAAAAATAGAATGTAAAATAAACAAATATTTGAATGACAATAATATTGTAAATCATTTTATATTTAATTAAATGGAAATATTCAGATAAAATTAATTGGATTGTATTCCAGATATGTAAATTATGATTAATTTTATATATGAAATAATTAAGATAAAAAAATAATACAGATTTAAACCAAGCAAGAAGTTATCACTGTTGGCTCTAAAAATAATTGATTATTGGAGTAAAGGAAATGAATTCTTATCTTCACCCAATTGTGAGGCCTACCCAAAGACATGGTTACATATATCTGTATGTGTGCATATATATATATATACACATATGTATATATATTCCTCTGAAATAATTAGGCCATAAAAGTCTCTGAGAGTGAGTTTCACTAGGAAAAGAATGTTCAATGTCCTTTCTTTTTCTTCTCAATATCACAAATCAAGTGGCATATGAAGCATTAACAACGCAGCGAGCATCAGAAGCCACCATCTTCCATTCAATTGGTTGAAGCTATGTGATCCATTGTTGCTGCAGGCCAACCTCTGATTATGGTAAGTACAAACCGTCTGCTTCCTGAAACCAACTACAAACACTTGTTCAATAAATTTAAACCAATAATTAATTTAACCCACTAAGAAAAATGCATCAAAAACCAATTATTTCATACCTGGAAGAGCAGAAAGAAACAACGTAATCAGTTCCTGAACATGTAAAAATACTGGTAGGATCATCATATGCATAACTATACGCAGTTGGACAAGATTGCTTGAACTTCTTGGAGTAATACGTAGGTTGACAAACTACTGGATTTCCATAAACACCCCTACAGCAATATGCATCGGTGTCGAAAACGTCGCAAGCACTCCGGCAAGCTATAATCTTTCCGTTAGATTTAACGGCGAGCTCCGGCGGACAATTTGGTCGGAGGTCAGTGTCGCAGCCGGCGATCGTACAGTTTCCCCTACCGTTAATGGGTGTAACAACTACAGGCAAATTAAACCCATCAACTAGACTAACGTCGTAAAAATCGAGAACTGCGAGCGTAAATTCGGCAAGTGAAGCTGGAGGTTCGCCTGAGGCTTTACACTTGAGAGACGTGCCGCATGCACCTGTCTGGCATGAACCGTTGCCGTTTTTGTCAAACTTGCAGCCGGTTCGGCCCCAAATGCGTCCGCTCCATCCAACTGGTGCATTGAAGACGATAGATTGGCCGGATTTTAATGCAAAACCTCCACCGTTGAAGTTTTCGCCCGGTGTAATTGCCGGCCAGATTGTGTATCTACAGTTGTTTACTATTGTGAAAAATTCTTGCACATTCTGATAATTTGGGTCCTGTTAATTTAATAACACAATATTAGTGTAATAAATCCTTTATGTATAACAGTGCAGTATATATATATAAGTGTAACTGATATACCTGAAGAAATGGTAAAGAGGAGGAGGAGAAGTGGTGAGAGGAGATGAAAATGTGTGGCCATCTGGTTTCCTGTTCGGTGTTATGTGAAGGAGGGAGATTGAAGGCAGTGAAAATTTAGGAAAGGAAGAATATAAAGCAAAAGAATACGTGTTTAGTTTAGTGATTATTATGGGGAAATGCAATCTTGTTGATTCCTTTCCTAATCCCTTCCTGCAAGCTTATTCAGATTCCAACCTTCCTCTTTTGGTTTCACCTTTCAATAGAATCTGGACCCACTCAATCCCCACGTGCTCCTCTTTCATTCGCCAACCTCTCCTATTCTTTACCAATTACCACCATTTTCTTTTTTTTTTTTAATACAAGAAAGCAAACCAGGTTTGCCAGGTAGTCACCATTTCAATTACCTTTCCAAAGTATATATTATATTTTTACATTATAGTCTTTCATGAGTTAAGCTCTAAGTACTAATAAAAAGTTGGAGTTACTATTTGTGACAATCGTCTTTCGTTATTGATCACCTTGTTCAAAAGTTGAACAACGAGTGCACTATTTATTTTTAAGATAATATGGTGTGATCCAAGAATCCAAGTAAGCTCGAGTCCCTTTAAGGCTCCCCATAACTCCGCCTAAAGAACAGATCAAGATTTAATTTTCTTGAACTGTCCGCCGAGCCAATATTCATCACTATCCTTACCCAGCGCACCTGCACAGGTAATGTCATTGCTCTCGTGACGGATTCCATCTGTGTTAATCTTAATCAACAAGTGTCTCCTGCTTTTGGCTGTGGCGATTCGACATTGTTGATTTAAGGCTTGAGAATTGAAACGTGTACTTAGTCATTCTAAAAATGTCATGTATCAATTTATCCACGTTGAGCGGTTAACCATAAAAAATCAGGGTGTTTCGCTGCTTCCATAATAACCAGTATGTAACATATCGTCCTCCGATCCTAAAAGGAAAGATATTAATTGTATTGATTTTATAAGTTGGCACAGACCCAATTGTTAAAAGGCATACTAAAGGAAGTGTGGGAAACCGTTAAAAGGAATAATCTTTTGCCAAAGAGCCTTCGTCTAATGTCACTCCCTCAAGACATGATTGGCGTCTTCAATGCCACATCCACATACCATGCAACCCGGATCCTCCATCATGTGCCTTTAGACCCTCTCTGCACTGATAAGTAACCCTCTCCTAAGGATCAATCACAAGAAGTGTCGGATACACTGTATGCTGGACCATCTCCACGCCTATAAAAATTTTAATTTATGGATAAATGTAGTTTTTTTAACCAAAAATTCCACTTATATGAAGATTTTTGGTAATCCAAAGTTAAAATCAAATAGTTACAAAATTAATTTTAGCATCTAATAACTAAACGTAAACGTACTCATATTTTTCCTATCATAAATTAATTTTGTCATAACTTTTAATTATCCATTATTATTCAATCATTCGGTCATAATTATTATATTTTATAATTATTAAATTTTTTTAATAAAAATTTATCTTGTATACATATATATTAATTATAATACAACATAAATAATATTTAAATAAATACGCGTATAAAAAAAATAATCTAATTCAAACTCATAGAAAAATTTATATTAACTATTAAGTTAAACTACACAATTGTTAGTAACTCTTAAGTTATATCTCAATAATTATTGTAGAACCATCTAAATAAGATATGTTTTTAAGTAATGTAATTATTTAGGGATGTGGATTAAATTCTCTAAGCCAATTCACTTTGAAATATTTAAATTAAAAAGTGAAATTTTTTAATGAGAATTCAACTAAACTAAGAAAATTCTTTATATAATTTCAAAACCAAGAGATATATATATATATATATATATATATATATGAACTATTTCCAAACAAGAACGCACAAAAACTTGTACTACAAGATGTTCCCTGTTTTTACTGTTATACACTATGTTGCATCATGGTCAGGCCTGGTGAGGTTGGCCCAGATCTGGTGTAGTTGGGTACAGGGCCAACTCTTGAGGTCCACTCTAACTAACCCTAATATTTTCTTTTCTCCATTGACATCGAACCCAGGTTAACCTAAAAAGCCCAGGACCCAGAAATTCAAAGGACCCACCAGACTGAATACCTTTTCATTCAATTTTTTTTTTTTTTTTTTTTTTTTTTTTTCACACAGTAGAATTATACATTTCATCCTATTCACCACCAAACACATGCTAAATAATGTTACCATTATTTCAAAATATATTAAACAGACATGATATATCGTTGTCAAAAACTTGGTAAGCAAACCAGATTCATCTGTTTCTCCATAAGATAGGATGAAATGTATTTTCGTGAGTCAAAAGTGGAGGGTACAATTTTGCTACTTGCTTTCATCTCATAGCTGGCTATTTCTCCTCCTCAGGTCCCCTCAATTTTCTTCTCCTTTTCTTCTTTCGCTGCATCCAACAGTAGTCTATTATCTTGACATAGTTGCACCGCACATGTAAGGTCAGAATAATTAACATTGGCCTACATGAAATGATTATAACCCTCCCATCGATTTTAATAGTATTCTATGTTGACTTCAAATCTGCCCTCTTATTTCTTGCTTTAACTTATTATTTCTTTATTATTTTTTTTATTAAAAAAAAAGATATTTAGAATCCAATAGAAAGCTACAGCACATAATTTAGAAATAAAAAGAAAATAAAGAGAGAAAGAAAAAAAAAAAAAAAAAAAGTCTCCAATGGAATGATTATGACATGCTGAGTGATGGAAACATACTTCAATTTTACAAATTATGAGATAATGAGATACTTATTTAAATTGAAAAACAAACCCATTTAAAAATTTAGTTGTGACTCGACTCGAGAGTGTGTTCGACGGACTAAATGGATTCAATTATGATAAAGGAAGTAGAGAAAGAAAGAAAAATGTTGGAAAAAAAAGTTCAGTCTTTGTAAATATTGTTGCTGTAATAGAATGGCCAAATTTGACGGAGGAGAAGCACGGTATAGATGAGGATGGTTTAGACATGTCGCCCGAGTTCCAAATTAGGTCTTGGAAACGTACCAAACCAAACCATGATTGGGATCCTCTCTCTAATAATTAATTAATGGCCAAAGTGAAGAGACTAATTTAACCCAATCCAAAAGGAAAGGAAAGAAAAGAAAAGGCTAATAAATTTTGATTCCTTAACCCTAATAATAAGGTAATAGAGATTAAAAAGGAGGAAAGGAGGGAAAAAGGTGTTAAATCTTTTTGTAAAGCCAGTTGGTACACGTGCGGTGCTAATCATGTTTACCACCAAAGTCCCCCGACTCAAAGCAATCATTCACCCCATCCCTCCCCCTCCCAAAGACCCAACTTTTTCTTCATCTCATTATTATTATTATTAGAAGAACAAAATATATATATATATATTGAACTAGTAGCGGTGAAGATGAAACGAGCGTACATGGGTTGCTTTGGTGATGAGAAGGTATCTCCCTTTGTGGGCCATGCCGTTCGTGCATTGCATGAGAGGTTGGGCCCGTGACCTTCCTGTCAAGCCCATAAAAACAAAGAAGAGTGAGATGAGCTTTAGTCACCCGTAGGGGAGAGAGATATATCACCCGCCAATTCAAAAGCTTAAGGCTGAAGCCATACCCAACATCCGGAAAAAAAAAAAAAAAAAAAAAAAAAAAGAACATGTGATCGGGGAACTTGTGTTGAAATCCAATACATTATACAATGATATCGATGTTTTAAGGGATATGAAGAAGGCAGGTCCCCACTTGGGCGACTCAATTATTGACCGAGAAACTTTATAAAGATAGAAAAGAAAGAAACCCACTTTTCTTTATCTATTTAAAGAGTCGATATTAGTCGCCAGCAACCACCGTCACAGTCCACAGACTCAGTCCGTAACAATGGCTTCTGAAAAGGTTGAGACTGTGATTGCTGGAAACTACATTGAAATGGAAAGAGAAGAAGACAATTCACGTTCGTCAAAGAGTAGATTATCTAAGCTGTTTTGGCATGGTGGATCCGTCTATGATGCATGGTTTAGCTGTGCCTCTAACCAGGTACGCATGCATGATACACACACACACACACACACACACACACATATATATATATATATATATATAGAGAGAGAGAGAGAGAGACCCGCACCCACAAAAATCTGATTATTGGAAATCAATGAGTTATGCAGGTTGCACAAGTGCTGCTTACGTTGCCGTATTCATTTTCACAACTGGGGATGTTATCTGGGATTATATTTCAGCTGTTTTATGGGTTGATGGGAAGCTGGACTGCTTATCTCATTAGTGTCCTTTATGTTGAGTACAGAACTAGGAAGGAGAGAGAGAAGGTTGATTTCAGGAACCATGTTATTCAGGTGATCTATAATCAAACTTACATAATTTCCATTTCTTGTTAATTTTAGCTACTTATGTAAATGATTTTGCGATTAATCAATAATTTAACGTTTTGTTACTTGATGGGTTATAATTAGTGGTTTGAAGTTCTTGATGGGCTGCTGGGAAAGCACTGGAGGAATTTAGGCTTATTTTTCAACTGCACTTTCCTTCTGTTCGGATCCGTGATTCAACTAATTGCTTGTGCAAGGTATGTTTATCTCATTAATTAATTTATAATTGTAATTAATTTGGATTAAGTTAATTAATATAATTAAGGTGGTGCATGCATGCAGCAATATTTACTACATTAACGACAATCTGGACAAGAGAACGTGGACTTACATATTTGGCGCCTGCTGCGCAACAACTGTTTTCATACCTTCATTTCATAATTATCGAATGTGGTCTTTTTTAGGCCTCATGATGACCACTTACACTGCTTGGTATCTCACTGTTGCTTCTCTCCTCCATGGCCAGGTATATAATATACATATATATGGATTATATAATATGCTTATATAATTGATATTTACAATATTATGAATTAATTAGGTGGAAGGAGTGAAGCACTCTGGGCCAGCCAAAATGGTTCTGTATTTTACCGGAGCTACCAACATTCTATACACCTTTGGTGGACATGCTGTGACAGTGTGAGCATGCATTCAACAACTTCCCACCTCTATATTTTCGGCTAGCTAATACTATATGTATATAATTTCTGACGGGTGTATATATATGTATGTGATTAAATTGATAGGGAGATAATGCATGCGATGTGGAAGCCACAAAAGTTCAAGCTAATCTACTTTTTAGCAACACTTTATGTGTTAACTCTCACACTTCCGTCAGCTTCTGCTGTTTACTGGGCATTTGGAGACTTACTCCTCACTCACTCCAATGCCTTCTCCTTGCTCCCAAGGTCTGGTTTTAGAGACACTGCTGTCGTCCTCATGCTCATTCACCAGGTAATTACGAACAATATGATTGATTAAATTAATATTTACAGATATATAGAGAGATCATATCGGTTTGTGTTTGTATACAGTTCATAACATTTGGGTTTGCGTGTACTCCACTTTACTTCGTCTGGGAAAAATTCATCGGAGTACACGAGACAAAAAGTGTGTTGAAGAGAGCAGTGGGTAGATTACCAGTGGTCATACCCATTTGGTTCCTGGCTATCATTTTCCCATTCTTCGGTCCTATAAACTCCACAGTTGGCTCTCTTCTCGTCAGCTTCACCGTCTATATAATCCCTGCTTTGGCTCACATGGTCACTTTTGCTCCTGCAGCTGCACGAGAGGTCAGTCAAAGTTTTCATTCCTAATTACATCTTCAATAATGGGTATTACTAATATATATTAAATAATGAACGTTAATTTTGAACAGAACGCAGTGGAGCGACCACCGAAAATGGTTGGAGGATGGACGGGATTATACTCGATCAACATATTTGTGGTGGTATGGGTGTTTGTGATTGGATTTGGGTTTGGAGGATGGGCGAGCATGCTGAATTTCGTTCATCAAATTCATAATTTTGGCTTATTCACCAAGTGCTACCAGTGCCCATCTCACAAGCCTTAAATATTATTGCTCTCTTTCTTTTTTTTTCTTTTTTTTTCAAACAAGTTAATTAACAGATTAAGATACAGTGTTAATTTCTTTAAGTGTGTAAA